TATAGTAGTAAAAAGAATGTGGAAGAGTTGGAATGTTTTGAAAATTTGTGTCTTTCAAAATACAAGAATTTTGCATGGACTCAACTAGTATTTTTTGAGAATGACCCAACCGAGGAAGTTATAAACAATTATGAGAATTTCGGTCTACCAACCATTCAAAATATTGTTAATCATTTAAAAACAATTCAATCCACCGTGTCTAAATCTAAAGAGTGGGTACAAAGAGGTGACGAATTATTTGAAATCATAAAACAAATTTATGAAAAATTAGAATCATTATGTGATGAAAGAAATGATGATCTGAAATTATACTTTCCAAATGATCTCCCGCTCTTTTTAAATGGTGAAAACCCACTTGATTCGGAAAGTTGGATTATCGCTTCACATCTTGATTTAAATATTAAAAAAGACTTCAAGCCAGACAGAAGAGCTACCGCAGAGTACCTTAAGAATTATAGCAGCCTTTTAATTTTAGCTGGCGCGAAAGATTCGAAATTACCGAAGAACAAGCGAAATAAAAACTATGAAGAAAACAATTCGCAACATATAATTAAATCAATGATTGATTCTTTATGTATTGGAGATAATACAGCTGCATCAAATGACGTTTCATTTCATATTAAAGAGCAAAGATTTTATGCGAATTCATCAATATTGGGTTATGTTGCACCATATTTTAAAATAACTGAACGATTTAGTTTTACTTTTAATGATATTGAACCAGATTCAGTTCACATTTTACTACGATGGCTATATGGTGAACCATTATCTCAAGCCATAAGTTATATTGGAACGAAAGAAGATGAAGATGAGTTTATTCAAATTTGTAAAGATTTGTTAAAATTGGCGAATGAATTTGAAATTGAATTACTTAAACAGTTGATAGAACATAAATTATTCGCATTTCTTGACATCAATTTGAATGAAAACACTCTTAACGAATTAAAGACTATGGCTCATAGTAATAGATTAACTGATCTTTTAGATTATTGTAATAAGTTAGAAAAGGAATATTGCTAAACTTATATAATACCTTCTTTTTAGTATAATATGGCATTTTATATTAGTTATTGATTTTTAATTTTATTAATGAAATTGCTTGATAAACATGTATTTACACGGGGATTAATTTGTAAGTTCATGTAAGATAAAATCAAGACAATAAAGAGCAAATTAAACCATTTT